TGGTGGGTAAGCGGTACGTTTATGGGCTTACAATACTGAAATCCTGGGTTTGAGTCCCTGCTGCGTAGAGAGTACAGGTACCTCATTCTGCATCTTTGCGCTAGCTTTTATTATTATTAAGAAATATTAAACCTGTATGATGAAACGAAAACATTTCACCACTCGTTATAACCACTGTTACTGCTATTAACGATAGTTACTTAGTCTATACAGAGCAAACAGTACCCTATCTAGCTGTTAGTAGCAGGATGAGAGTAGTAATAAATTTCTACCACTAGCAGCTCATATTTGCAGTCTTTACTCTTCGGTTCCTGTCTAACTCATTTATTTGTAGCAAATTCAAAAATCGACTAAGTCACATGTTTCTTCTTCGTAAAAATTCACACTTTAAAATGATGAGAAAAAAATCCGTATAGTTGGAAAATGAATGTGGTTATCAAATTCACAACCAAAAAGGGGTTGTGTTATTAGAATGTGGTTATACAATTCACAACCAGAAAGGGGTTGTGTTATTAGAATGTGGTTATAAAATTCAAAACCAGAAAGGGGTTGTGTTATTAGAATGTGGTTATAAATTCACAACCAGAAAGGGGTTGTGTTATTAGAATGTGGTTATAAAATTCACAACCAGAAAGGGGTTGTGTTATTAGAATGTGGTTATCAAATTCAAAACCAGAAAGGGGTTTTGTTGTTATGTACTGAAAACCTGATGAATTTTAAAAGTTTGTCAACTTTCTTTATATACACACGCCTGAAAATCGCTTTAGAACTACAATTGTTAACACTAGTTGACAAGCCATAGCTTTTAAGTATTATTACCTTTCCCCTTTAATTCGTGATTACATTTTTATGTGGTTCAAAGAAAATCAATAAATCTTATATTTTCTGCTATAATTGATTGGAATGTCCTCCTTACACTGCTTTATGTCCATTTGATGGTAAATGAAGACAGACAGAGATTCTTGAAAGACCTTAATTGGTATCATTAGGTTTCTGTTGCAAGTATCCCCCCAGTAGATAGTCAATATCCAACTTGGTAGCTATGACGTCAGATTCACCTATCTGACTCATTCTTTGTTACCCACGCTTATTTATCTACTTTGATGTAGTAAACGAAATGTCGCATGTTTGTCTTCAATGCGCCATCTAGGCTTCTTTTGATTAGAAGAGTGGTTGGAGGGAAAATATTCTACCTATCCAGGTTGTTGGCTGTCTTGCATCACAGATCTATTAATAATAGTATTGACACAAAGCTACCTAAAATGCGGAAAACATCTCCGAAAATCGGAATCAATATTAAGGAAATAAAATTCTGAAAGTAAGCATCTGTTAATTAAAAACTGAAGTTAAAAATTAGAAAAATTATCTAACTATAATTATGCAGCGTTTAGTGAAAGCAGTTGCTTTTGAAATATAGACTGTTGACGTCGTTTGAAAAAAAAAAGGGAATAATTCATAATCTCTTAAAGTAAGTTACTGTAAAAGTATTAACAAACTTATTTTTATGGGCGATGTGTGTTAGAATATGATCATTAATCCAAAACGTGTGCATGTACAAATGATTCTTTCAGTCGAAGTGTTTATGGATACGTAAACTTTGTCATGAACTAGGGGAATCCAACTTGATGTTTGAAGCGATTCTATTGGAATGCTAATTCGATAACACCACGATTTCATTCTAAGAAATGTCTATCTTTTGCCAGGCAGTTAATTTTGTAGATTCTTTATTTTATTTTGCTCAAATTTTGAGAAATGTGGTAAAGAATAAATGGGTACACAAAAATATTTTGCTATCATGTATTTCTTTTTTTTTAACAATAGAAAGAGCCATTGCAGAATGCTTTGAGGGTTTTTTCAAGGGTTTCTGAAAGCATAAACTCAGATATTAGCCTTGGTATTGGGCGAAAGGCATTGCTGGCATATTACTACACTAGTAGTTAAGCCACAGATGCTGGTTTGTAGAATTACTTGCTGTTTATATACGTAGCAAAGGAATATTCCAGGTCGTTCCGTGTGACATGTGAAGCATAGCTTTCATATTGAATGAGCTGATCTACTTTATTCGTTTTGTATCTGTGAAAGTTAGATTGTTCTTTCAACTCAATTGTTTTAAATTATCATCTTTTCTTGAGTATTTAGAGATCATAATAACAGTCTCCGATGTTCGTAGTTTATTCCATAACACATATCCATTATTTAGAAATATTTAATTCTTCGTGAGTTAAGTTGTTAAAGAACAAAAGAAAAGCATGAGGTTTCTTTTTCATTCCATATCACTTGTCTGTTAAATAGCCTTTCTTTCATTCTGTATGAGTTGAGGTATTTTCATAGCAACAGCAGAAACCCAGATATTCGTTATTCTTTCTGTAACTCATCTGATAAATAACGTGAGGTTTATCGTGCTTACCACGAATTACTACTATAATAACTTTCAACGAATTCTGTAGTCGAAGGTTTCGAAATCCCAGATTGTTGTTGCATTTCTGATATTATTAAGTGGCGTTTATTTAGTTATACACGATATTAAATTCCTCATGAGTTAGAATATGTCATAGAATTTTTGAGTGGATATTTGTGTTCCTCAGCGTTTCGACTCTAAATAAATCCCATTCAAGTCTATAACATTTTGATTAAGTGGCACTTTGGTAGTAAGACAATTAAGTAGAAACAGTGCTTTACTAATACTACCGTAACTGTAAGCTGTTCGTAATGTTATTTAGCGTCGGTCATAGGTATCTAGATATTGCTTTGGGGTTGGTGTGAATATTTTTTATTTCCTCCATCTCCATTTGATATAACGATCGTTTTGAAATTTTAATGGCATTTTTGTGTTCTTTAACTCTTATGTTGTTTATTTAGTTTTAAAATGTCAGCTAATGCAGGTGTTTTATTGTTGCCATTCTTTAACTCGTCGCACGGCCCTTGGTTAAAGAGGATTTAATTTTTAAGAAAATTAGTTTTACAGTTTACAAATTCTGTGCGTTCAACATTTAGTTTCTATATTTACTAATTTGATGATTAAATTTAAAGTAATGGCGGGTGCAGTTTGTGTTTGTTAGCAGTGAAAAACTTGTAAATGGCCTCAGCTGTAAAAAATATATTTTTATTATCTAGTTATTTAGAGTTTTATCCTGACATGAAGATTTTTGCTCTAACCTCCGAGCAACTGGTGATTTTCTCTATATATAGAATCAAGATAGTTGTTCTATAAGTAAGCTCTAGTGTACGTTAATTTCCCGTCGATTGTTAACAATGAATGAGACAACCAAGAAGAAAAGGGTTTTTCCTTCTTTCTGTAAAATGTGGTATATTTTGAGGTTTCTTTCTTTTTGTAAAATGTGGTATATTTTGAGGTTTCTTTCCTTCTTTTTGTAAAATGTGGTATATTTTGAGGTTTCTTTCTTTTTGTAAAATGTGGTATATTTTGAGGCTTCTTTCTTTCTTTTTGTAAAATGTGGTATATTTTGAGGTTTCTTTCTTTCTTTTTGTAAAATGTGGTATATTTTTTACGTGGCAAGATGACAAAGTTCTGCCAAGTAAATCTTCTTCGTGTAATTTTATAAGGTGCAGAACTTAAGACTCTTCTTTGATCTTTTCCAAGATGTGGCTTCAAATTATGATAGTGACGAACCCAAAGTAACATTTTCCCTAGGAACAAGCTTTTAATTGGAAGATATGTTCGACAAAACTGTACTACAAACAAAGATATGTTCGACAAAACTGTACTACAAACAAAGATATGTTCGACAAAAGTGTACTACAAACAAAGATATGTTCGACAAAACTGTACTACAAACAAAGATATGTTCGACAAAACTGTACTACAAACAAAGATATATTCGACAAAACTGTACTACAAACAAAGATATGTTCGACGAAACTGTACTACAAACAAAGATATGTTCGACACAAATGTACTACAAATGTTATATATGCACTGGACTACACACTCCATTAGAATGGGTAATATACACTTCCAAGGTTAAATCTTCTTTAATATCCATGGTCTGTAAGAGGAACCATTTCTAGATATTTTGACTTATAATTTCTACACTGTTAGAGATGTACATATACTAGTAATTTCTAAAGACGACACTGGAAATCGTGCTTTCGAGAATAACAAAAATCAAGTTAAACATAATATTAAAGCTAGAAAACGGAGTGCGCCGAAACAACTGTAAAGAAAAAACTTTCGGAATTTCAAATTATTTCCTGTACAGGAATGAAAGATCCCCACGTTCGGGTTGCTACTGTTTCCTCTTGTGGCTTACCCTTCTGTACTTTAGTTAGCCAAAACTAGTTTCAACTTGATAATTCCGGTTTCGAGAAATTCAGAAATATAATCCCAAATTAAAGATGATCTCGATCGTTTTATTTAACTGTTTGTTACGCAGTATTCATGTCATTCATGCTTTATAGCTAAAGATGTGAACTCATCTTGTTCATGTATATGATTAAGAACGAACTGAAATTTCACAAGTGTGTGTGTATCATTGTGATCTTTCATACATAAATATTTCGAGTGTTGCAAGTTATCTGCTACCACTATAAATTGTATTTTTATAAAGTATTTTTAGATTTGCTATTGGCTATAGCCACCAAACTAATGCTTGATTACTAACTTATAACTTAGTTACTCAAGATCTTGATATTTGGAAATAGCTAACGAAAATAATTTCGATGTATATATATATATCATTAAGTTGATTACGATGGGTTATATACTTTTAAACTTAAAACTGGTATACTTATGCTCACATCTACTGATATGTATATTTTAATTCAACGTATCGTTTTTCTCATTGAAGTGAGTTGAGATCCCTCTATGCTGTGAATTAGGCAAGACGTGAGAAGGTAGTACCATTCTTAACGCGTACACTAGGTGTTTTCAATTAATATAAAATTTGATTTCAAGAAGCATTTCAATAAGAGTTTACTAACTGGTTGAACTTGAGTTTCTAAATGAGCGAACTCAGTCTGCCTCTCTTGTTTCATTGCAGAGTATCAGAGTCGCAATGAACACCAGAGGGCAGGAGCTACTAAAGGCAGGAGACGGGCACACCCCCTGTGAGTCCTTTTTTCCGTATTCTTCATAATTAACGCCCCATTTTATAATAATTCTTAATGTTCTAGCATTGTTTTTTAGTATAAAGCACATAAATTACTTTATGTCTGCATGTAATGGTAGCGAATATATTTCAAGAAAAAAAAAACTGGTATTGATAAAAACGGAAGCGCCAGACTTTAAATCGTGTTCTGTAGATTTTTAGATTTGTTTTTGCATGAAGGTTTTGCAGTGGTTTAAGTGGCTCTTTAAACGTGCAAACCTGTGAATGTTTCCCCAAAGGACTTACAAGCAGTTTATTTAAAAATCAAGTATTTAACATATTACCAGAAAATATCTTATTCAAAATGTTAAGAGTTCATCTTATTTTGTTTTGTTTCTTGAAAAAATAATTGATATTTAATTAGTTTTTTACATATTTGAGCGTTTCGGATTTAAAGTAAAAAGTCAATTTATGTTTCACGTTTATTCTTTTACTTTCGCAAATTTCTTTTTTCTCGATAGAACAATACTTTCATGTGTTATTTATCAAACTCTGCTGAAAACGGGTTTTTTTTTTTCCTTTGGGCTGGACAATTTGAAAAGTAGTTAAAAACAAATTGACATTTGTTTGAATCTCTATGTTATCCACCAATTCACGTAATAAGTCTCGTATAATTTCATTGTATATCCAAATGGCTCACGAATTCCATTTAGAAAGGCAATATAATACACAATTTTCCAGCTTTACGACTATATGCTTGTTTTAAAGAATATTGGATTGTTATTTATCTCCTTCACTGTGCTGAGGGAAACGATTGAGCAGGTGTATTTCAAAGGTCTACTTAATATGGTGTAAACATGTTATGTATTCCTGTCCTGTCTAAACAGACTGCCATGGTGGCGTTTCAAAATGTACAGGGCGTTCTCTATATCAACATATTTCTAAAGCAAGCGTTTCAATCGAATGATTTATCCTTTGCAAATGTTAGTCCAATCAATCGATTTCTAAGTTGTGTGTCAACACTTGCTAGTTTTGTAAGCTAGGTGTTTAGTCGGGAAATTTCACATACATACATATATATATTGTACATATATATTTATACATATATAAAAATATACACTCGACATGATTAGATTGAACTAATCCACTTTAAAGGTAGTTGGAAACAATAAGAAATTTGTAAGTTAATGTAAGGCTTACAATGTATGCATACATATGATGTTGTAGTCATTTTATTTACAACGATCGTTATGGATACGATTCTGTTTGGAACCATACATTAAATGTGACAGGCGAAGAGTGCGTTTCAGATTTTATGACAGTTAAAAATCTTGAAACAGGGGAAGGAATTTTATTTTCTAACTTATGTTTCTTTTAAAACGGATCAGATTTTTTTTTTACATTTTGTCGTTTCGTTAGGGTACGAAGTGAACACGTGTTCAATTACAAGCAAATTCGTTGCAACTAGAAGAGTAAAACTTGTGGATATATGAAAAACTGGTAAGATCAGGGGAATTACTGTGATTTAATTTTGTCGTTTCGTTAGGGTACGAAGTGAACACGTGTTCAATTACAAGCAAATTCGTTGCAACTAGAAGAGTAAACCATGACTTGTGGATATATGAAAAACTGGTAAGATCAGGGGAATTACTGTGATTTAATTTTGTCGTTTCGTTAGGGTACGAAGTGAACACGTGTTCAATTACAAGCAAATTCGTTGTAACTAGAAGAGTAAAACTTGTGGATATATGAAAAACTGGTAAGATCAGGGGAATTACTGTGATAGGTACAAGAAGATCAGTGAAATGCTCCAGACATTAATATCGCTTGTCAGTCAATCAAAGATGTTGGTGAACTCAGGCTGACTGCTTGCCGCCTAGCTGATAAATGTGGATTTACTATTAAATCCATGTCCCTCTCCATTGTCATAATGTTCAATTGCTGTTAGTTGATACTATTTTTTTTTCAGACGTAGCCTAAGCAGTCAGACCACGGTCCATGAACATGTCACAAACTTTCTGTGGAAAGCAACAAATTGTGAGATTCAATGTAGCTGTACCTCGTTCTTCTGACTTTCTTTGTTTTCATGTTTTTATAGCTATATTGACTACTCATTTAAAAACATAATTAAATATGTCTCTAGTAAGACAAGAAAAATGTCAGATAAACCGAGAAAGTTTACGGATATTTCATCTTAACTGATACTTTTTGATAAACTGTTTTATACAAACAGGTTATCAACTTTGATATTTAACATAAAGGTCTTAAAAGATTTTATTTTATTCGAACTTGATGATAAAAATCTTGCAAAACATAGTTGTAGTCGTAGGTGAGTGACTTGTCTTTTAAGAAGTGTGAGCTTTGGGCATAGGTTTCCAGTTTAGAATACTTATTTTAAATATTTCATAACTAGTTTGTTATCTGTGTGAGTGTGTCTTATCTTGCTCTCTAGGGTTTCATACAAACGTACACTTGTGGGTCACGTGTGCTACATTATCAAAGATTTCCAGAGGGACATTTCGACATGCGATACTCTCGTTATCAACTCTTGTCGGTGACATCGCTTGGTCGTCATTCAGACCTGTTCCTCCTAATGTAGAAAATTAGCTTTAAAATTCGTTTTGTTCCATATGGAATTCATTAAGTATAGAAGATTGAGCTCTTTGATAACGCACTGCATGTTTATTGAAATTCTAGAAGCTTCACGAAAGAAAAATATTTTTAACGTGTAAAGTTGCTGGTTGCCAAACAAAATATTTTGTTGTATTATTTTAATATTTCTATTTATATGTATATTTGCCAAATACAGAGCTCTTAAAAGTATCCTATTATACATGTAACATGTACTATAACAGGATAACGGGACTACATGAGTTGTGTAAACTTAACTGGAAATATAATATGATACTCGTGTTAGCGAAACAAAGTAGTCAATAAATTACATTAAGAACCATTGAAATACTGAAAAGTGCAAAACAAACTGGACTAAAAGCTCGGTTTTTTTAATTTTGTTGTTGATAAAATTCTTACTGCCACAAATATGTTCACATTTTAAGTCTGCTAGTAACCTATTGACCCATAATCTTAACGCAGGATTCATTGGTAAACAGATTGTAAACACAATGAATATTTTGAATGGGCTTATATCGAATTTCCTTTTATCTGTTACATAATTGTTTAACACTATAAATTAGTGGTGTTAATAAGTGTTGTTAGTGCAGGTGGAGGTTATAACATGTCCGTAATTCATCGCTACGCTCGATTTGTTTTTAATGTAACTGATTCACATATTTTCTTCCTATGAATCGTTTTATATGATAAAGTAAGGCTTTTTAATTTTAATTAAACGAAAAGGAACCTCCAACTGTATAAATCATACAAAAGTAATTAATTTTCAGATAGGACAAACGAAACAGATATGAATGTACATATATATATTTTTTTTATTCCTGTAAACTCATAGTGGAGCATAGGGCCGCAACAACACCTCGCCAACGGAAGGTGTTTTGTAGTTACTTGTAGCAGGTTGGTTTTTACGGGGTGGTGTTGCTAGCCCCGCGCCCAACCCTCCCCCTTTCTCATCCTGGACTTGGGACCAGGCAAAGGCGGAGGTTGGCATGTTTGGTGTGACAGGGATTCGAGCCCACGACCCTCAGATTACGAGTCGAGCGCCTTAACCACCTGGCCATGCCGGGCCTATGAATGTATATTACACCTTATTAAAGTTTGGGTGTGATAGAATTCTAAGATCTTGTGAGTAAAACTTACATGTAAAGTCTATAACTAAGCCTCAAATTAGATCTAATCTCCGTCATCTTTGTGGTGTGCGTCAGTTACATAGATATTTGGAATCTGATTCATTCTGCCCTATCTAGAAATTTACTATTTTTGCAAAAACTTAGAGTGCATATTAGAGACCTTAGTAGTGGGTAATTAACCTTCTTTTGTAATATAGAATTATCAGGCGACCTACATATCCTATAGATTTCTACATTATTTGTGACTTTTCTACACCATCCAGTTTAGGCCAAAAACGATCTAAGTGTTCTAAAACTTCTAATTCTTTATTGGTTATCAAATAATTTGGGTATTTTTAAGCCTAAAAACGAGTAAATTACTTCATGTTTAACTGCTAATACTTTTTTCCTTAAATTAATGGTTGGGGTCATCTTTTCCAGATAACCCTTGGAAAATATATATTGATTATTTTTTCCTTGAGACTGCACACTCCATTATTTTCTTTGAAACTTCGGAAAATCATTTGATAATGTCCTATATTCCTTCGTATAATTATTCAAGCATTTTCTTAAGAAGTCCTCAAACAGCAGTCTGTATTTATAACTTAAAGACTGCACTTCTAGTCACATTTATTAAAAGGCTTTGGGCAACAAACTATTTATCAGATTTTAATATTATTCATTTCTGGGGAGGACTGTGGCTGTCATTTCCACTTATTGTTTAGAAGAGCCATTGGTCATATATTCTCTGTGTCTAGTTTGAAGGTCTGGCATGGCCAGGTGGTTAGGGCGCTCGACTTGCAATCTAAGGGTCACGGTTTCGAATCCCCGTCACACGAAATATGCTCGCCGTTTCA